TCACTGTTGCTGAGGATGGCTGTGGTACTTTTGTGAGGGGGAGGGGCTCTGGTTCTTATCTTGAGCTTCGCTTCCTGGCTCCAGTTCCAATCCCTCAGCCTGCTAACACAGATCCTTCATTCTGCTGGCATAGACTCCCTAGCTTCTGCTACTCACCTTTGGGTCTTTCCAGCGCAGATCCATGAAGCCGGCCTGCATGAGACAATGTCATTGGCTCTAGGCCTCCAATTGGACTTGTGAGAGGCATTGTTATGGGCTCTAGGTTTTCAGCGGGACTCATGTAGGATGTTAGAATTCAGGCACTCAGTTGGATTCTTCAGTCTGTAGTGTGTGGACAGATTTCCTTCACTCGGTATATGACCTTTGGGTGATTCATTATAAAATAATCTTATAAAACATGTATTTTTTATTGTTCTCCTTGCAAAAATCCCAAACCATGACAGAATCTAAGGCCTTCTTTTTAGGGCATCATTTTCTGAGGCCCAGGAAGTCCAAACCCCTTACCTGCTGTACACAGCCCAGTCATATTTCCAAGTACCTACCCTTCCAGTCTCTGGGCAGCACCTTAGTGCCCTTCCTGCCACTCTGCCAGTGACTGTGCCGTATGTATCTCCCACAGAAGGCCCTTGAGACCCACTGATTTTGCCTCCATAGCACCCACTCCAACCTCTCTTGGTGCCCTTATGCTGCCTTTAAGTCCATGTGTGGGTCAGGTGGCCAACTCCAGGATCCCTTTCCCCACTTGTGGCCCAGGCAGATCACTCAGTTTCTCAGTTCCTTGAATTTGAATTTTGAGCAACACAGGAACCTCAGAGAGACAGTTCCTCCATAGTTCAGCCCTACTAATCCCTGAAAGCACTTCCTCAGTTTCCTCTGACCTGTGAAATGATTTGTGTACCACCTTCTTGTCTACTCCTTCCTTTAGCTTAAGCAAGAGGGGCATTTTCAATATTTGCGATCAATGCATTCCCAATGAATCCTACATTTTCTGTGCCAAGATTCTGGAGTTTTTTTAATATTGGAAGTTGAGCCCACTGGTTATCCAGTTACATTACACTGGATAATGTAAACAGGTGCTCTGCTACTGAGCTACCTCCCAGCCCCATCAGACGACACTGCTTATTCTTCAAAACCTAAGCCAACTGTCCAATTACTCATTCATTCATTCATTCATTCATTCATTCATTCATTCATCAAATACTAAAAATGTTATGAGATGGCCAACTGCTGTGCTGCCAATATGATAGTAAATGAGCAAAGCATGGCCCTTGGCTATGCGAACCTCTAAATATCTCCAAGTAAATAACTTTTAGGGGACCGCAGGTTCAAAGAGTAGGATTAATTATAATCCTGCCCATGGCACTTTATAAACATTGATGTGGATAACTGTCCAATTATACAATACCCTCCACACAGACAATCACATTAATATGTGTGTGTTCTTGTGGAATGCATAGTGCAATTTAATGAACATGCATCTTTAACACAAGTATTATTACATCACATGTTCTGTTTGGTTTCTTATTTGTCTTCTCTGAGTGTGGTACCATGCCTGAAGTACCAAGATGAGGAAATGGGCTTCAGAAGCAGCTGTAAGGATTTTTTGGCTTTGAAACTTGACTGCCTGGGAAGCAAACTTGAGGGTTTGGGCAGAGGGGTGACGTGATCTGGATCAGTAGGAAAATACCAGGAAATAATAAGGAAAATTAGCTGCTGAGCCTGAGACAGGGATTCAGGGCTGCAGGCCTGGAAACAGTGTGGGCCGTTAAGGGGCTGCCACAGAAAGCCAAGGGTGTACTGAAGGTTATTTAAAAGACAGGGGTCTCCTGCTTCAAGGTTGTATATGGTGAGATTTTTGGACTTATGTGCAAACATGAGAAGTATATTATTCTTTATGCCTATTTTAAAAATTTTTTTTTTTTTTTTAATGTTTTTTAATCATATTCTGTAGGGACTTAAAGTTTAACATATCAATACTTGATGAAAAATACCTGTTCCATATTATGCCTAAGATGTTTGATATGCAGACAGATAGTGAGGTTAAGCTTAAAAGCCTAAGTTGTTTGATAATAACAACAAGCTTGTCTTCTGGATGGTTAACAACCTAAGTTTGCAGACCAAAATTAGAGAAAAAGGAGGGCTACAAGGAAAGCCAACATTTTGGCCCTAGCCTTCTAAGGTCAATTAAGACTCAGGACATATGAGAACTGTACTGTAACGTCATGTACCTCGGTAGTGTCCCAAATTTTCTGATCAAGGAGATTATGGGGCCAAAGAGGAAAGTGATCGATGATGTAGAGTGTGCCTAATGAGAGTCACATGGAGAGAAAACATTCACTCAGGCTTTCACAGAGAGCACATTGGCCAAGCAATGGCCATGACTCATGCACATGGCTGACACTGACAAAGGTTCTACAATCTGAGATACAGGATCTCAGGATAAGTCCTGAGGGGATTTCACTGACCTTATCAGACCCAAAAGCTACAACTCTTGTTGCATAGGTCCTGCTTTACCTTGGTCTTAACCATCCAGAAGGAAAGTATAAAAACGAAATATAAGAAATAAAGCCATGATGTTATGTTGAGCTGTGGGGGACTCACGTCAACAATTTCTGACATTGCCAGTTAAGCGGAAGAACCAATACTATTATGGGTTACTGGACTCTTTTGGAATATTTTGCTGAGTTAACACACCTGTAATATTCAAATAACAGAACTTAACAAAAAAGGGTATGCAGATGAATGTCCATTTTGTATCTGTGTATTCAAAGTGGTTAGGATAGATATATAGTTACATTCTCTTAATGAATAGAATGATTTGTTCTAATGGTGTTTGTAAATAGGATATCAAGTCCGCATCTTGTACAGCAATTAACCACTAAGAAGAATGTATGCAGTGTGTTAATTATTGAAACTGCCCTACCGATTTGATTTGAAACTGTCTCATTGCTATTTGTTTATCAATAAAATTATGGCAAAAAATAAAATAGACAGGGGTCAATAACAAATGAGCATCTAGGATGTATATACACTTCTCAGGTGAAAAAATACAAATGGCCAATAAATATATGAAAAAATGTTCAACATGATTGGTCTTTTGAAAATGCAAATTAAAACAACACTGAAATTCCATCTCACCTCAGAAAAAGTCACTATCATCAAGAAATCAACTAATAACAACTGTTGGTGGGGATGTGTGGAAAAAGGAACCCTAGTGCACCGTTATTGGGAGTTTAGACCACTGTGGAAATCAGTGTGAAGAGTCCTCAAAAAGCTAGGATTGGAGGTCCCATTCAGTCTAGCTATTCCCCTCTTGAATATGTTTCCAGAATTAGAAACATCATACGACAGCGATTTATGTGCACCCATGTTTATAGTGGCACAATTCATCATAGCTATATCTTGTAAACATCCCAAATGCCCACCACTTGAGGAATGGATAGAAAAGATGTGGGTATCACTTAGCTATAAAACATGATAAGTTCAAGGCTTTTATAGGTAAATGGTTGCGAGACTGTACCCATAAGTGAAAGAAATCAGACCTGTATGTTGAAACATTATATTGTCTCTCGTGTAAGAAACGAGAAGAGTAAATAAAATCGGAAAGGTACAAAAGATACTGAAAAGGAATAAACACACACACACACACACACACACACGCACACTAGGATAGCTTGGATAATTATACCGCTCATTTCTGCTTGTCTGTTGAAAGGAGCAGTTAATGCATAGATTTTTCTCTTTCTCTCTTTCATTTTTTATATTTTTTGTCCAATTTCACATGCTTATATCTGCTAATCTGAGCAACTAATTTGAAAACAACAGTATGCAATGCAACAACCATTGTTGAAAACCTGTAATTTTTCTTTTAGCAAAATTCTGTATCATTTTTAATATCAGGATATTAGAATAAAGCTTTTTATTCTCTTAAAAATAAAAATAAATAAAAGATAGGGCTATCAAGTTCGTATCCCAGAAGCTCCTGCTTATAAATGAGAAAAAAAAAAAAACTACAGGGAATGTTGATAGAAATCAGAGACGTGCCAATTACAACCACAATAGGACAGGATATCTGTTATCCTGGAAAAAATTAGGAACCTAACTCTCAAGTATGACAATTCAAAATCAGTTTTACACTGTTGCAGGGGATGTAAGCTCTGACAGCTGAACCGAGTGTACATATTTCCACGGCCCAGATACTGGTATACCAAGCTCAAGTTCGGGGTGTGGGGCCTTGGTGTCGCCTGAGGGATTGCACACGCCGGAACATGCGTGAGAGGAGAGGAGGCGCCGCGGATGGGAGAATGGGCGGGTAAAGGGTTCCCGGGTTATTGTCTGCCCTTCTCGCCCTCCTAGACACCCTAAGACAGTGGGGCTGTCCACTGCGCCCAGCTCAAGGCAGGGGATAGACTGCCCTGGCAAGAGCCGCCCCTTTTTGGCGTCCCAGAACGCGGGAAGGTCAGCACCGCGGACAGCGCCTAGCAAGCAGGCGGGGCTTATCGTCTCCGAGACGTCACTGCGCGCGCCAAGGGTGCGCGCGCTCAGGGCCGTCACGTGATTGGGGCCTCTGCCTGCGCGTCCCCTCCACACAGCCCCTGACCTGCAGCTGGGAGCGCGGGCTGCGCAGACCCCGCCCACGGTGAGCGCGGCGACCGGGCCCCGCTTGTAGCCAGACTTGGACCCCGGATCCGGCCCATGCCGCCTCCTCCTTCCGAGCCTCCCTGCGCCTCCGGTCCCGGGCCCTGCTGACTACGACCCCCTGCGGTCCTGGGGATGGGTGTTTGGGGGAGGTGTGACCTTGGCTCTGCCTTTGGTCACCGCAACCTCCTGGGGACCCTTGATTTTCCCAGCCCGAGAACCGGGCGCCCCAAGGTCGGGGGTCGCGCAGCGTCTCGCTACCCGTGGGGGAACGCAGGCAGCTCAGGGACCATGAAGACGCTTTACCCGCGGCCTCCGCTTTCAAGCGGGGAAACTGAAGCACAAAAGAGGCAGGACCTACTTGAGGTCGAAATTAGCGTGCGAAGTGCTGTTCCCACCCTCAGGGTGGCACTCGGGAGCGGTAACCCCAAGGCCCCAGCAGGTGCCCAGAATGAACCGACATGTGATTTCACTTGGCCACCCTGCAGGCTGGGTGCCCTAGAGCCGCCCGTCCTCCTCAATGGTTTCCCAACTCTCGGCTTTAGCTCAGGCTCTTTTTCTCGAACAAGAGAGTAAGTGCCCCTCTCTGACCCGCTCCTGGGGATCTGCCTTCTGGGCACACGCAGAGCCACAGCAGGTGGGGTGAGTGGGGGCTCTGTGGTTACTGGGGTCTTGGATTTGCCACCCCAGCTCAGACACTAGACCTGGATTTGCCACCCCAGCTCAGACCCTAGACCCTGGCCAGTGTTCTATCCTGGCCTGACCTCCCGGCCAGGACCTCATCCTGCACCCCAGACAAGGCCCAGAGTGGGAGGCATCGTGGCAGGGACTCTGCCCTGTTCCAGGAGTTGCCCAGAACAGCCTGTGTGCTGGCTCTGTAGACAATATGGGCTGAACCTGGTTGCAGGACTGAGTGCTCCTGGACACTGGGTCCCCAAGCCCTGAAGGGATAGTGGCAGGAGAGGAGGCCTAGCGGGCTGGCTCCTTGCCTGGCATGTGGAGTGAAGGCCAGGACAGTGACCAGCGACTGCCCCAGGCCACACAGTGTTTGTAATACACAGTGTTTCAGCACTGGGCTAGGTGGGACTCTGTCCTTGCCTGTCCTGAACTGTTCTGGACTCTTTTGGGGATGGGGCTGGCAGAAGGAGCTACAGGGTGAAAAGGGCAGTGCCCCTGAGGAATCTCAGCTCTACAGTGGGGAAGACACAGGCCCTGGAACCGCACATCTCTGCTACCTGTCACTGGCTGAGCCTCCTCTGCCTTGGTCTCCCAAGGTATATAAGTAGGGCTGGCACTAGTGGGAAGGGGAGATGATTCTGTGACACAGCCCCATAATCAGTGCTCCCTGATGTGTGGGAAGGGAAAGCCTCCAGATTGTTTCAGCTCTTGTGATGTATAGTGCAGGGGCTCCTGGCCCTGGTGCCAGCAATGCTGGTGCAGCCCTGGATTTGCCACCTCAGCTCAGATCCTAGACCCCACACAAAGCCCTTGCAAAACTGCTGCCCTGGGGACAGCCAGCCCCATGTGGCCCTCTCTGCAGGGACTGGCCAATCCAGCTGGAGGGGGTGAACAGGAGGGGCATTTGGAACTAAATCCCACTGACCCCACCTCCTCCCTCTCTGCAGTGGAATGTCTGAGTTTTCTTTTTCCTCTCTTCAGACGTGCTGCTGCCCACTGGAGGAGCCCTCCCTTGGTTAGGAGACCCCTGACCTCTGACTCACAAGTGAGTTTCCAGGACAGGATGGGAGAGAAAACTGCAGAGGCATGGGGAGGGCCATACCCTGCCCTGTGGAAGGGCTGGTGGCGTGCAGGGTGGGGAAGTGACTTGTCAGAACATGTTCTGCTGGGGGCATTAGTGCAGGGGCAGGCCTGGGCAGGACTAGAAGCCAGTTACACCATAGTGCAAATGTTCTGGCTTACCCAGCCATTTGTGTGTGGGAGGGGCAGCAGGCTTCTTCCTCCAGAGGCAGAAGCCACTGCGGCCCCTGGTGGGGTTGTTCTGGGGACACACTGCAGCCACAGCTCACAGGTCCTTAAGCAGAAGGGCACTGGCCAGCAATCAGGACCAGACTGATTTCTGGCTGAGAGTGAGGGGTATAAGGGCAGGGATCCTACCCTGCACAGAATAGTAGAGGCCTAAGGGAATCTCCAGCCTGCCTGTGTGGGGAGGATCCAAGGAGGCCCCTGGAACTCGTCTTCTGGAGAGAGGAGGAAGCCCCGCCATTGAGAGCCCATCGTTGAGGAGCTCTGGTCCCCCACCTCATGGGCTTCCATCTGCCTGTACCCTTGGGCTGCCAGCTGTCCTTGTGGCATTTGTTAGGAGTAAGAGGCCTGGGCAAGGTCCAGACCACAGAAGACAGCTCTTGAGAGCTGAGTGGGGGCCAGGTGGCCCTGGGTCCTGCCTTCTGCCACTCCTCCAAGTTGAGGTTCTCCCTCTAAAGTGGGTGTAGCAGAGCCTATGTCAGGAGCCCCCATCACACAGACCGCAGAGCCAGCCCTACTGGTGTCTCCTGAGACGATGCGTCTCTGTCCCCCATCCTGCTGCCCCTTTGCATCCTGGATCCCTTCCTTCCACCTTTTGCTAACTGTGTATGGCACCCCCCAATGCCTGTGGGACTCCCTGCCCACGGTTGAGGATGGCAGGCCACATGCCCACTTGGGACCCAGGCTGGGCACTCCCTGCAGCAGAGCCTGCATGGGTGGAGAGGTTCTCTGCCCCACGCTTCTGAGATCAGCTGGGAGGGGCAGGATTAAGGCTTTGGGTTCACATTGCTGTGCCCTCCCTGGGCAGTGAACTGAGGAGTGGGGAGGTTGGCCTATAACTTCTGCCTTCTCCTGGCTGAGTGCAGGGACCAACCCAACAGCGGCTGATAAAGGGCATGTGGTGGTCAAGGGCTCCTCCATCCTGGGCCTGTGGCTTATCTCTTTCCCTCTCATCTAGGATGAGTCAGCTGAGGTTGCTGCCCTTCCGGCTTAGGGCTCAGGCCACAGGGCTCCTGGCCACACGGGCTGTCCCTGAGAGGAACTGGCGCAGTAGGTCCTCTGGGCCCCCAGCTGCCTTCCCCAGTGGCCTGGGTGGAGGCAGCTCCAGCTACATGGAGGCGATGTACTCGGCCTGGCTGGAAAACCCACAGAGTGTGCACAAGGTCAGCACCCTACCTGGAGGGAGGGAAAGGGGACACAGTGGCTGCCTGCTGGGAGAGCTAGGACGGCTCCTGTGGGGAATCTCATCCTCATATCCAGAAGAGACCGTCCTGCCTCTGCTACAAGCCAGTTGGTGAGAGGCAGTCCTGACAGTGCTCTGCCCCCCTGCATGAGCTTCCCCCCCCCCCGCCTGGCTGTCCCCAGATGCCTCTAGTTTGGCATGGGTCTCTAATGTTTATAGCTGCAAAATCTGGGGGATTAAACACCTGCTGGTGGTTATGACATTAAATTAGACGGCAGAGTAAAAACTGAAATCACTTTCTCCTCACGCACTAGGCAGTCAGAGGACACAGACCCAAAGCAGGAAAAGCCCAAAGTCTTGTTCCAAACACAGCCCCCAGCTGCTCAGACTTCAGACCATACCTGACTTCCAGCTTATTTTTAGTTTTTCCTCTGTGTCTGAGTTTGTATATATAAACTCATTGCAAAAAACAAACCCTCCCCCACCAAAAAAAAAAAAGAATTTCCCCCTTAACACAAAAGTAAGTAACATGAACCAGCACTGTGCTGCCCCTCCTCTCCCTGCAGGGCAGTCTGTCTCTCAGCTCATTCCATACCAGAATGTAAAGAGCCCCATGGCTCTTTTCCTCAGCTGTGTAGTACTCCACTGGCATGCCATTCCAGCCCCCTGTTGCTGCCAGCCCTGGTGTGATTTCCACACACTCAGCTGTGTGTAGCAGACTTCCGGGGGCGGGCAGGGAGATAGCCCATGTGTCATTCAATTGGTGCTGCCACATTGCTTTCCATGGGGACTGCTCTACCTGGTCCTGCTGGCACCAGGTAGAGTGTAGGGGAGAGCACTTCCACACCTCTGGACACAGCAGTGTTGTGTGTGTATCTCTGCTTGTGTCTCTGCACATGCCTTCACCTGCCTCACAGCCTTCACAGCACCCCTCGGCAGCACCCGCATTCCCAGCGGTGAACCCAGCCATTGATCTCTTAAGATGCACAGTGGTCCAGATTCCAAATGTGCACCACATTTGTGCAGCCATCTTCCTTTTGACAGTCCCTTGAATGGTTCTGCATTGTCACTTTTACAAACAGCCTGGCAGGGAACATCCCTGTGCACACATCTGGGCACACTGTGTAAGTACATCTGTGTGGTAAAGAGCTGGCTGCAGAGCTGCTGGTGCAGCACTGAGATGCAGGCACTGAGCACACAGCAGGGCCACCTACCTCAGCACCTCTACAGGGGCCTACCGTGCCCCACAGCAGCCCCTGCCATGGTACCTCTACAGGGGCCCACCATGCCCCACAGCAGCCCCCGCCACAGCACAGTCCCTGAGCCACACTCATCTGCCCCTCGACCTGTGCATCAAGCCATGGCCTGAGCAAAGCAGGCTTTGGGTAAAGAGACCCCCAGGGAATAGGGACACCCCTGGGGTGCCAGCCTGGGCCACCCAATTCCTTCTGGGCCCTCAGCTGGCTGTTCCTTGCTTGTGCCCCACCCAGTCCTGGGACAGCTTCTTCCAGAAAACTAGTGAGGAGGCCTCACATGCTGCTCCTGAGGGAAGACCTGTGCCTTCCCAACGGACCACAACCAGCAAGCTGGTGGAGGACCACCTGGCTGTGCAGTCCCTCATCCGGGCCTACCAGGTGAGCCAGCGCTGTCTCCCCAGAGAGCCTTCGTTGGGTCCATAATCATGTTCCCCTGCTGCTCTCACTGCCTTTGGTAATCCCCATCTGGAGCACTTCTCAAACACCCCACCCATCCCCCCACCTATGTGTTTGCTGACCTGTAGCTATGGTTGTCTCCTATGGTCTTGCCCATACCATACCTAAGGACCCAGAGGGACACACGGTGAACAATCAGCTCCCAGCAGGCTGTCACTGGGGTCTCTTTGGGCCCTAGAACGGTCACTCAGGGAGGACAGGGCTGGTATACACAAAGCATGGCTTTGACCAGGGAGGACAAGGAACTGTGTGTTCAGTGTGGAGCATGACACGCAGGGTGCTCTCAGGGGTCTCATGTAGCGCAGAGCTTTTATTTTGCCCAGACCAAGCCCCAGGATGGTCTCTGGAGTCAGGGGTTCCTGCTGTAAAAGTAAAATAGTAAAATGTCTGCCTAAAGCCTGAGGCAGAAAGCATACAAATTCAACCCAGCTTGGGTAGTTTAGTGAACTTAGCCCCTAAGGGCTGGGGCTCACTGCAAGCTCCTGGGATCAGTTCCCAAAGTCACAGGAGCAAATAAGTCTGCTCAAGGTAGAGGAGCAGCTGGGGGACCAAGTTCTAGGTCTGATCCCCTGTAGACTGCGCTGAGAAACAAATGTAGCCGTAGAAGTTTGCAGACTTGGAGAAGGTGGAGGGCAGGGTTGCAAGCCCCATGCATCAGCACAGAACCAATCTTATTTTCTTCCCTCCCTGTTGGCCCTCGTTCACCCACCCAGATGTCTAGCAAAAAGTAATAGCAGTAGTCCCTGAAATCAAAAGATATGCAGCTGATACTCACGTTGCCTTTGGTCTTTGAGGGGGTACTAGGGATGGAACACCCATTTGCCCTTTCTATTTTATTTTGAAATAATGGCCTTGCTAAGTTGTTCATGCTGACCTTGACTTAAAATTCCTCCTGCCTCAGTCTGCCACTATTCTCCCTCAGCTGACTTTTGTCTTATGATGTCAATCTAGTGCTTATTTGAAGCCCAATCCCAGTGAACTCACTCGCTGCAATCATTGACGTGACCATGTCGTCGAATGTCCTCTCCAGGGTCTCCTCTTTCTTCCTGCGTACCTTGCCAGTTCTTACAAAAGAAGCCAGCTTGTTTGTTCTGTAGAGTTTTCCTGGGTCTTAGTTCTGCTGCCTGCATCCTGATGGTGTCATTCCACCAGTCCCTTTGTCCCATGTAATTTCTAGAAACTGGTAGTTAGCTCTCGAGGCTTGATCTGCTGTAGATTGGATTTCCCTTCCAAATGGGATTTGGGCATTGAGCAACCATGGATAATATGAACACTTTTCTTGGGGGCTTGCAGAAATTGGGATGTCCTCCTCTCTTTCTTCATTTATTAAACACTGCTCCCTAGATTAAGTTCTCATTTTCAGTCAGTTATCCTGGAGTGCTCCTTGTATAGGAAGGGTGGGACCACGCTTAGCATTTCCTCTCACTGACTAACATTCAAACCTGTGAGGTGGGTCCCTGACATCCTTCGTAGGTGCCTAAAGAAGGCTTTTTTTCTTTTTTAATGTCATGTGAGTGTATTCAGTGCGCTTCAGTCTGCTTGCAGACACATATACACATATCGTCACTAGTACTCACCCTTCTTCTCAGCCCTGCGTGTTGAGCTGTCCTGTGGCCCCTGCTAAGTCAGATGCTCCACATTCTTCTCCCATGCTTCTGCCCTGCCACAGCCACCCAGGACTCTAGGGAGCACTGAGAATATTCAGCCTGTTGGTTCAGTATATTAGAAAGATGGCTAGTGTTACAGATTTATGCCAACATGACTCCATGCTTCAAATGCAGGACTTGGGCTTTGTTCCTGACTCCACTACTCTTATGGAAACATCTCCTTTCAAAGATGCCCCAAGAAGATGTCCTCGGGGGTGCCAGTCCAGAGGCTTATTTGATTTCCCCACAACCCTCGTGCAACAGTCTTGGGATAACAAGTCTCATGTTGTCATTACAGACTGATGAGAGAAAGATCTTAGGAATTTGCTCGTGTAGTTCTTTGTCTTTGGAGAATATTGCAGTAACCACTTGGAACAGTTCTCCATGCAAAAGTGCTGCAATGTGGATGCACTCACTTGCTTTTGTTTTGTTTTACCTTCAAGTCTAAAACTGTATTTTATTTGTTTATTTATTGGAGAGAATGTCTCACTACACAGTTCAGATTTGTAGTGATTGTCCTGTCTCAGTCTCTGCAATGCTGGGATTACAGGTGTGCACAACCACATCCAGTTTTGTGGCGAGCACAGCACACCCAGGGTCCTGGGGCCAGCATGGTATCAGGTTTATGCCAGACAGGTGCTTAGATCACTGAGCTATCACCCCAGCCCTAAAACTTTATTTTATAATAATGTAAAAATATGAATAGATTCTAAGTCAGTCTTGAAAGCAGGATGTATTCTTCAAATACAGACTTCCAGCCCTCCTCCTCCACTCCTTCCTATCCCATCCCTAACTCTGATAATTTTTATTTTGTGACTTACTCTATTGTGGACACTTGTGCACATACAAACACATGTATTTCCTGGTGTTTCTACCATCCTAGATAAAGGTGACTCAATACATGTTATCCTAGAATTTTTGTTTTGGTAATTGTATCTTGTGGGACCTTCTAGGAGCTCCCCACTCTCGGTGTGTGTTTCTCTTACCTCTATGCCGGGTCCTATTATTGGACTCTGGGAAAGCTCCTAGAATATCGTGATTGCTAACAGGATGTCACTACAGGACCACATACCTTTGCCTGTAGCTCTTTTCCTAGGGATGGGACCAGATGATACACAAGTGTTTACCACAGAGCTGCATATTTGGCACTATAAAATTATTATTATTATTATTATTATTATTATTATTATTATTATTAGCAGCAGCAGCAGCATTATCATCATTATTTTGAGGCAAGGCCTTCCTAAGCTTCCCAGGTGTGGACTTGTGATCCTCCTGCCTCAGCCTCCCCCGTAGTTGATATCACAGATATGCACCGCCATACCCAGCTTCGTGCCACAGTGTGAAACTGAGTCAAGCCCCTGCCTCCTTGGTAGCAGCCCAGTGAGACAGCTGAAAACTTAAGTTCTGAAGCTGGAAGTGGGGGGCAGGAAGGGCTTGTTCAGTGGAGTCCCAGCGTGGCCTTGCCCTTCACCCTCCCTAGATTCGGGGTCACCATGTGGCCCAGCTGGACCCCCTAGGCATTCTGGATGCAGATCTGGACTCCTTCGTGCCTTCTGACTTGATCACGACCATCGACAAGCTGGGTGAGAGCTGAGACCCTTCCCTGTGACCTGACAACACCAGAGCTAGCCGGCACAGGTGGCCCGGCGGGGTCCTCAGCACAGAGGACAGCTGCAGCCCATGGTGACTCTGGTGGGGCTGTCTTCCCATGTCCCCAAGCAGGGCACCATGCCCAGCCAGGGTGAGGTTGTCCAGGCCTCTGCTTGGTGGCAGGCTGGCTGCCCCTTGGCTCTGAGCTCCAGGCTGCATATGGAGGAAGGGGGCTGAGAGGATCCCTGGGAGGTCCAGGGGTGCCATTCTCTGTGCCTGACCCCATTTCTTCTTTCCACGTGCTGCCCGGGATTCCTTTGCCAGCCTTCTATGACCTGGGGGAGGCAGACCTGGACAAGGAGTTCCAGCTGCCCACCACCACCTTCATTGGGGGCTCCGAGAACACCCTGTCGCTGCGGGAGATCATCCGGCGGCTGGAGGTTAAGCCTGGGCCCAGGAGCTTGTGGGTAGGGTGTGTATTCCCTTTCCTGATCTGGAGCCAGGCCCGCTCACTCTTTTCCTGGCTCCTGTCCCCTAGAGCACCTACTGCCAGCACATCGGCTTGGAGTTCATGTTCATCAACGATGTGGAACAGTGCCAGTGGATCCGGCAGAAGTTTGAGACCCCTGGAGTGATGCAGTTCTCCAGTGAGGAGAAGCGGACCCTGCTGGCCAGGCTGGTGCGCTCCATGAGGTCAGTGTGAATCTGGCAACAGCTGGCCTGGGGTGCAGCGAGGCAGGTGGGCAGGGATGGGACTCCCAGAAAACACAGCAGCAGGGAACACAGCGGGAGAGGGAGTAGCAGGCTGGGGCTGTGGGTTGTTTGAGTGAGAAGTCACCCTGGTGCAGAGAGCGTGGGTGCCCCCTGGTGGTGGCGGTGGTTCCTCTGCCCTCCGAGGGCTCTGAAGCTGGCTGTGCCTGGACTGCAGGGGAGTGCAGGGTCTTCCTGGGCAGTGAGGTGCTCACTGGACTTCGGACTCCGCTGAGTGGGGTCTTTGGAGCTTGTTGAGCACCCTCTGCAGTGCAGGCAGAGGTGGGGGCTGGGAGCAAAAGGATGGTCTTCTGTTGGAAAAGTTGGCGGGGGGCGGGAAGCAGAGAAAGGAGTATGGGAAGTGGGTAGGCAGAGTTCTCTTTGCCAACCAGGGGCTCCTTGCTGGGTAGAAGTGATGTGGTATCCAGGACAGGGCCTGAACTCTACGGGAGGGAATGATGTGGCTCTTCCTCAGTCCTGGACATCCAGTTGCTGCTGCTTGTAAGCAGCCTCACTGAGTGCTCCCCGCCCCCCACAGGTTTGAAGACTTCCTGGCCCGGAAGTGGTCTTCAGAGAAGCGTTTTGGTCTGGAGGGCTGTGAAGTCATGATCCCTGCCCTCAAAACCATTATCGACAAATCGAGTGAAATGGGGATTGAGAACGTCATCCTGGGCATGCCGCACAGGTAGGGCTGCTCCTCCTTCCCAAGTGGAAATCAGGATGGGGCAGTGGTGGGGTCTTGGGGTACAGGCAGTATCCAGGCAGGTTTTCAAGGTCCCCAAGCTCTACCTGCTCATCCAAGAAAGAGCCAGGTGCTTGGTAGTCATATGAGACCAGTTGCAACCAGGTTCTCTGGGTTTCTCTTTCCTCTGGCCAAGTTGTCACTGCCCTATGACACTTCCCAGGAAAATGCGGGCAGGGCATGGGAAAGTGGCCTCTTGGCATCCCTGGAGGGGATTTCTGAGGTGAGCCAAGGGTTCTGTCAGCAATGGTCCGTTTGCATGTTTCCTTGGGCCCTGCTGAGGCCTGGAGGGCCTGCTCACCAGCCATCCCAGGACAGGAGTCCAGGGACAAGGCTGCAGGACTTACCTGTAGCTGGGATTGCCCAGGTCTGCATGGTTTTAGGGGTGTCTGGATGCATGGTGTCTGGGGGCCCTACGGCTGGCCTGCTAGGGGCAGGGGCTTCTTTGTCATGTCACAGTCCCTGTGCTTTGAGTATCTGGGAGTTCCCAGTGTCTGGGCAGAGGCCAGGCAGTGGTCAGGCAAAGCCAGCCCAGCAGCCTGAGGTGGCACAGGCACATGAGAGTATAGGTCTCAGGCTGGTACTGCAGCAGGAGAGGCAGGCGTCTGGTAGGTATGGTTAGCAAATACTCTCAGAGGAGGGATCTTAGGAGAGAAGGCTGTTCTATGTCAGCCTGCATCTCTGAGTGAGCAGGGAGATCCAGGACTGGAATACTGTGCCCAGAGAGTTGAGAGGTGTGTGTCAGGCTACAGCAGGGCCCCACCCCTCAGGGAGAGGACCAGCCCACAATAGGGCTGAGGGGCTGTGTGTCTACCAGGTATTCCTGGAGGCCGGGGCTGCTGGGCTGCTAGGCTGAGCTTTAGTTGCCCCAGACATCAGTACCAGCTTGGGTTCCCTTTGGGCAGGGAGATGTGGAAGACACCTCCCAGGGAAGCAGGGGCAGGGCCCAGGAAGGTAGTCCTGTTGGTGTCCCTGGAGGGGCTCTCTGGAGGTAACCAAGGGCCTGTGCCTCTGAATTCAGAGTCCTGGTAGGAAATTCAGCCTGGACTGGAGAATCCCTGTCCTCCAGTGCCTACCTCAGCTGTCTGACAGGTTCTCTGGGAGCTCCGGCCTGTCCCATGTTATTAGGGAGGCCCCAAGGTCCTAAGTGAGGTCAGCATCCTGGTGGGGAATGAGTGGGCACCTGCCACATAAGCAGATCCCAACCCCCAAGGGCCTCTTTTGTCACCAGTGTGTAGGGAGGGGAGCTGGCAGGACCCCATGTCTGGAGGTCAGGGGATGATGTGAGGGCCCAGATCCCCCACCTGTCCCTGATGGCCCAGGTGGGCAGGGAGAGCAGCAGCATGGCTGCAGTGGCAGTGGCCTTAATGTTGGTGACAGCCTAGGCCTCTGGTCTCAGGGGCAGGCTGAATGTGCTGGCCAATGTGATCCGAAAGGACCTGGAGCAAATCTTCTGCCAGTTTGACCCCAAGCTGGAGGCTGCCGATGAGGTGAGTGCCACACCCAGGTTCCAGTGTCCCCAGAGGGCCAGTGTTTGGGAACTGGGTGGGGAGAGTCTTGGCTGGGAACTCTTGGGCCTAGACAGACCCGGATGTGGGCAGACATGGACAGGGGATGAGGAGGGGAAGGCTGGAGCCTTGTGTGAGGTCTCTAAGGCTTTGAGGAACTGTGGCTGATGTCTGTGATGGCCAGGAGGGTAATATAGGGAAACTGAGGCCTAGAGAGGTGCCAGGGACTGCCAGAAACCCTTCACTTTACCTTGTGTCATGAACCCCTGGGCCACAGTCCCATCCGGTAGCCAGAAGCGCCCTTGGGAAGTCAAGGGCTTCCAGTGCCCATTGCTCAGCCAAGGATCCGCTTTCCACTCCAGCTCCTGGCTGGTGCTCACATGGCACCCACCATACACCCAGAGTCTTTGCAGCACTTCTGTCTCTCTCACCTCTGTCACTTTGCCCTCAGTGCTGTCCTTCTCTGGAATGTCTAGTCTGCAGTCATATCTGTGGGTGCTGGGAAGTGTGGACACAGTGTTTCTGCCTGGCACAGCTGGGCATCATGCCACGCACTGGTCCCTGGGGTCTCAATGCCCCTGTGCATGTGTGCCGCTGCCCTTTTGAGGGCACAAGGCATGCTTGTTGGGTTGCCCTGGGGGCTCTCCCTTAGCATTACCATGGCCCGTCTTCCTGACCCACCTCATCCTTCATCCCTGCCAGGGTGACAGGCATGAGAATGACCTTGTTTTAACAGCGCTCTGTCACAAATTCAGTTGAGTAGCTATCTCCTCACATGTTTCGGTCATTTGTATTCTTCCTCTTTAAATTCCCCTTTATGGATTTTGCTCATTTTCCCAGGAGTTTTGGGATTTTAATCTTACTGATTTGCAAAAGCATTTTGCATACAGAGCCCATTAGCTTTTTGCTACATTTGTCTTATTAATGATTTCCTCAGTTTGATTCCCATCCCCTAGTGCTGTGTCTGGATTTGCCTCCTCTGCCCATGACTAATTTATTCCACTTCAGCTGGCTTGGCTCTTATAGTTTTGGGCTTTGAATAGTGTTCACAAAGTAAGCCTTTCCACTCTCCCAGACAAGAAGTATGTCTTGTTTTACTCCTATACTACTGTAGCTTTGATTTTTTGGTGTGGGGAGTGAGGTAGGGATTGAGTCCTGGTCTTTGCAGTATTGGGAACTGAAGCCAGGACCTTTGTACTGAGATATATTATCAGCCCTTTATAAAATTTTGAATTTTGAGATAGTCTCACTAAATTTCCCATGCTGACTTCTAACTTTTGATCTTCCGATCTCAGCTCCCCAGAGTGCTGGGATGGTAAGTGTGCCACCAAGCTTAGGTAGCCATGGTGTTCTCCCAGAGCTTGTCTTAGCACAAGACCAAGGACCCCACCATTCCCTGCAATCACTCATTCTGGCCAGCCCTTTCTCCTAGTATATTAGCTTCCATGCTTTACTGAGTCACACTGAGGTTGGAGGGTGCTGATACAGAGGGGCCTCTGATGGGGCAGTGTTGCAGTGGGGCAGTGTGACCAGGAGAGGTGGGACAGGGACAGCACAGCCTTCACTAGGGTCAGGAGTAAGAGAGAGCCCCGCCTGGTGTAGGCCCGGGTGTCTTTGATCATTTCCTGTCTGGTACAGGAAGGGAGGGGCTCACTCCTCCCTGCCTCTGTCCTCTGTCCTCAGGGCTCTGGGGATGTCAAGTACCACTTGGGCATGTACCATGAGAGGATCAACCGTGTCACCAACAGGAACATCACCCTGTCTCTTGTGGCCAACCCTTCACACCTGGAAGCCGTGGACCCTGTGGTTCAGGGAAAGACAAAGGCAGAGCAATTCTACCGCGGGGACACCCAGGGCAGAAAGGTGCACTTCTGTGCTGGAGAGTGTTCTGGGCCCTGGGGTGTTGGGTGCTAGGGAGCTGGGTGCTGTGGGGCTATTGCAGACCTGGCCCATGGGGGCTGGACCTGGGTCACAGGGTGGAGGGAGCAGGGTGACAGCCAGCTTACACCCTGCCCTGCAGGTCATGTCCATCCTGGTGCATGGAGATGCGGCCTTTGCTGGCCAGGGTGTGGTCTATGAGACTTTCCACCTGAGTGACCTGCCCTCCTATACCACCAATGGCACCGTGCACGTCGTTGTCAACAACCAGGTGACTGCCAGGCTTTGTGTCCATCCTGACATCATGCAGCAGGTGGCAAAGGGGGAAGTAGCTTGGTCACTTGGTTGCCTCTTTCTCCTTCCTCTGCCAGTCTGTGACCTCAGGCAGGGCAGCTGACGCTGGTCACAGGTCCTGGTCCATGAAACTGGTAGGAGTTTTACATGTGTATGTATGGATATATACATGTGTACATGTATATATAGATATGTAACACACATGTGTACATAGATGTGTGTACATATATACACATATGTAGTTCACTCCATATCTCTAGGCTCAACCAACTGTGGATCAAAACATGCAGGAAAAAAATCAAGCCTGTGCAGAGCATTCACAGGCTTGTCATTCCCCAGACAATATGGTATCACTGCTAGCATACAAAGTTTCCACTGTGCTGGGGGTCTCACGTGAGGGACCTGGGTAGCTCCAGTCCCCACACCTGACAGGGTTCTGGGCCCAGTTCCTCAGGTGGAGAAGGTGTATGGTGAGGTGAACAGGCACGGGGCCTGGCTGTGCAGTGGGCTTGGCTGTGCAGTGAACCTGGGTGAGTGGTTGGGATCCAATGCCATGTAACCTGGTACAGAGGCTGCTGCGTTTAGTACCAGCCCAGGCAAAAGTCCAGGAAGCCCGGCACTGATGACTGATTTGGCACTACCCTGTCACCTTCCGTGGATAAGCTCCTGAGGCAGAGGTTTCACGAACCTTCTCCTAGAGAAGAACACTGAGCCTTTAGAGTAGAAGGACCTTTCCTGGGGTACCTGCCTCACTGGCTGGTAAGATGTTTGCCAGGCCTATGTTCTCAATGCCACCTGGAAAAGCAGCCAGCGAGAGGGCAGCAGCACAGCTGTTTCTACCCTGCTGGCTATGGGGCATCCCTGCTCTCCTTCACTGTCCCTGGGAGCCCCCTCGCTCCTTGAGCTGTCCAGTCTCTGAGGCCGGCACCATCTGGTTCAAAGGCAACAGAAAGCACAGGTGTGGAGGTGAACACCTGCTCTCCCAGTGCTCAGGAGGCTGAGGCAGAAGCATTGCTCAAGCCTCAGAGTTCAGGACCAGGCTGTCTCAAAAGCAAAATAGATAGAGGCTGCTGGTTCTACTTCTACAGATTGGCTTCACCACAGACCCCCGGATGGCCCGCTCCTCCCCGTACCCCACCGACGTGGCCCGAGTGGTCAATGCACCCATCTTCCACGTGAACGCTGATGATCCAGAGGCTGTGATCTATGTCTGCAGTGTGGCAGCTGAGTGGAGGAATACCTTCAACAAAGACGTTGTCGTGGACCTGGTGGGTCAGGGACTGAGGCTGGGCAGAAAGGAGTTGCCACCCTTGCTGTGCTGGGCCTTTTAGGTGGGCAGTTCGTGCCAAGACTCAGCCAGGAATGGTCCTTTGTTGGTGGGGGTGGAGGCTGCTGCTGGGTGCAGAGAGCCTAGGGTCTGAGGCCCTGCCACCCTGCAGGTCTGTTATCGCCGGCGTGGCCACAACGAGATGGATGAGCCCATGTTCACACAGCCGCTCATGTACAAGCAGATCCATAGGCAGGTGCCTGTGCTGAAGAAATATGCTGACAAGCTCATTGCTGAGGGCACTGTCACCCTGCAGGAGTTCGAGGTGGGCAGGCACAGGACCATGGGCTGGTGACAGGTTTGGAGCAGTAGCTGATATAGTCCTTGTTCCTGAGCATTCCGAGGTATCAGAGGGGCAGAGTGCTGAGGGTGTGATTGCAGCTGGATGAGATACAACAGCCACAGCTGGTGAGGACAGCAGTTTTAGGCAGCAGCTGGCAGGTGCCCAGAGGTCACAAACCCTGGGGTACCATCCAGGGGCATGTGAGCTCTGCAATTCAGCCACAAGGTCTCTACAAGCAGAGAGAAAGAGACAGACAGACAGAGAGAAAGGGAGGGAGGGAGAGAGGGAGGGAGAGTGCCCACAAGCGAGTGAGCAAGCAGGAGCAAGAGCACACGAGTGAGCTCACACATGCTCTAGGCCTGTATGGATGTGGACAGCTGAGCCTGTGGCTGCCCAGGCGTCAATGCCACTTGTCTGTGCCTGTGTCCCCATCACAGGAAGAAATCGCCAAATATGACCGGATCTGTGAGGAGGCGTACGGCAGGTCCAAGGACAAGAAGATCCTGCACATAAAGCACTGGCTGGACTCGCCCTGGCCTGGTGAGCAGAGAGGGGTGCAGAATAGTAGTCACCACCCTGCATAGGGCCCCTCCTGAAGGCTGGGAAGGTGAGATTGAGGGGCAGTGGCTTTGGGGCAACATGACCAGCTGCGACCTCTGCTTTCCCAGGAGCAGGATGATGGGGCTGCTGTAGATCCAGAGGTGACCAAGGGCCAGTCATGGAAGCTGTGGCCCTCAGTCCTATCCAGGGCATCAAGGCTCCTGTCACCCACATGGACAATCTCTGTGTCCCCACCAGGCTTCTTCAACATGGATGGAGAACCCAAGAGCATGACCTGCCCCACCACAGGCATCCCCGAGGACATGTTGACCCATATCGGCACTGTGGCCAGCTCTGTGCCCCTGGAGGACTTTAAGATCCACACAGGTGAGGTTGCTTTGTAGTTCCGGTGTCACCATGATCCCAGATCTGACTCTCTCCCTAGGAGATGGGTTGGACGCCAAGTGAGGCAGTGTGGCTTGTCCCTTTTCAGCCTCTTGATGCTGGGCTCAGATCTTGAAGCCTCATGTGCCTGGGTGTTTGCCATTGTGGCTCCTTGCAGTGGAAACATGGATGCCATAGTCCACCTAGCTGCAGGGACAGTCTTGGGGGCCTCCCTGAGCTGAGCCGTGGAGCAGCGCTTCTGTGGAGGGTGCTGGGGTCTGGCAGGACTCACAGGGACTAAGGGCAGCCTGGTTCCTCCACTGAGTCAGCCAAGCCCACTGTGGTGTGGTTGCCAGTGTAGCCATTTGGTTTTGCTTAAAAAGTTCAGGGATCCTCTGTCTGGAGTAGCTCCAGGAGGACCACCCAAAGTGCACACAAAAGCTCAGGCTTCTGGGCACCTGCTCAGGATGAGAGTGTGAGCGCCAAACCCTGCATGTCACAGGAGTACTCTGCTCAGCATGTGAGGCTGAGCTCATGGCTTCCCCTCTCTGAGCCTTGGTCGCCTCTCCTGGAAAGTGGAGACACAGGGGATGTTGGTGGGGGGCTTGAGGCCCAGCTCAAGGGGCTGCTGTGCTTATTGGGGCTGGGGTCAGGCCCCTGCACCAGCCTCACCCCCTGCAGCCTGCCAGTGCCCGCCTCAGCTGTCCCAGCAGGTGTCCAGCCCCTCATGGCCTCCTTCCCTGTCCCCCAACTCCTAATCCTCACAGGCCTCTCCCGCATCCTGCGCAGCCGAGCAGACATGACAAGGAAGCGGCTGGTAGACTGGGCCCTGGCCGAGTACATGGCCTTTGGCTCCCTGCTGAAGGAGGGCATCCATGTACGGCTCAGTGGGCAGGATGTGGAGCGGGGCACGTTCAGGTGAGGCGGGCTCTGGGTCTTGTCCCCTGACTGTGCACCATGGCTCGCAGGTCTGGCTGAGGCCTTTGCAGCCCATGCCACCATCGTCTCAGCCCCACCCAGGACATGATCAGAGCAGGTGATCAACACTGGGCTCATGACCATCTCTGGTCCTCACCATTCTTTATTTTTACTTTTTGACAAACTGTTGTCAGGCCATCCTTATCTTGCCTATTGAGTGTTAGAATCCAGATGGGGACTCCAGGGGGCTTCACACCACGTTATTCAGTCATGGTGGTGTGGCTTCCAGGGAAGGCCATCTTTTTACATCTACGTACAGCCCTGGGCAGCCACTCTGCACCCTGGGCAGCACTTCGGCTTTGCCAGGTGCCCACCGTGCCAGGCCAGGAAACTGTTTCATGTTTACTGCCTGCCAGGAAAGAGGCTCAGGCCAGTAGGATAGGCAGGGAGGTGCCCAGTTCTGCCCTGCTCCTGGTAGGTTGGCCAGATGGGGACCGAGAGGGGCTCTGACCTTTGAGTCTTGCCCAAACACCCTTAGCATGCCACATGGGCAGTGCTGGCTGGGGCAGGCAAGAGAGGTGAAAGGGGCCAGGCTGTTGTGGCTTCCTTCTCAGTAACCGGCTGCTCATGCCATGGGACTCTGCAGGTTTCTGGCCTAGTGACAAAGCCAGCCTGCCCCCTCTCCCCAACTTCCCTGCTCTGGGACAGGTGCTGGCCCATCTGCCCTCCATCCTACCCTGGGTCTATCTCTCCTCAGCCACCGACACCATGTTCTCCATGACCAGGAAGTTGACCGGAGGACGTGTGTCCCAATGAACCACCTCTGGCCTGACCAGGCCCCCTACACCGTGTGCAACAGCTCCCTGTCAGAGTATGGAGTCCTGGGTGGGTCTAGTGTGCCCAGAGGGGGGAGGGGGAGGGCAGAATGGAGACATTGGGGGCTGGCACTGGGGTGGCCCTATCTGGGGACATGAGGAACAAGAGCTCTTCGGGGGTACCAGTTGGTGTACAAGAGCCCCCTGCTTGCACCTGGGGGGCTCTGTGGACACCAGCGCCCTGTCTCTAGGCACTAGCTGCAGGCCCAGGCAGAGGGTATGGCAGTACTGCTGTGGGCCACAGCCCCCACCTGGCTGTGAGTCTGGCCAGCCACCATTGCTCCCAGCCTTCTCCCTCTTGTGTCTGGCATCCTGGGGGCCCTGTGCTGAGGTCCTCACTGTGCCCATCCTACTGGCTGACCTCGCCTCAGTCCTTAGCTGGGTGCCCCTTCTCACTGCCTTTAGCCTGAGTCCCCGTCCTGTCCCTCAGGGCCTCTTCCTCCTCTCCTGGCAGCTCTGAATGTGGTTTGGGGGTCCTCCTGGCACATGGTCCCTGTGCCTCCACAGAGTGTCTTTCAGTCTGGCTCTGGGCTATATGAGGCTGAACCTGGTCATGTCTGATGAGGGCTGAGCGTGGCATCTCAGGAGGAAGCAGGCCTTGGATGTGTGCTTGCCCACTAGGAAAGATGCTGGCTGGGCCAGCGTGCTGAGGGAGGGCCAGCTTGGCTGGAGCATCTATCCGTGTTTCCTGTCCAGGCTTTGAGCTGGGCTACGCCATGGCCAGCCCCAACGCCTTGGTCCTCTGGGAGGCTCAGTTTGGTGACTTCCACAACACGGCCCAGTGCATCATTGACCAGTTCATCAGCACGGGCCAGGCCAAGTGGGTGCGGCACAACGGCATCGTGCTCCTGCTGCCCCACGGCATGGAGGGCATGGTGAGCCACCCAGGGTGGGTGCTGGCATGTCTGGAGTGGCTAGGGGCCCTCAGCCCAGCAGGAGCAGGCAAGCTGGGGGCTGGGTGGCCTCTGTGTGTTCCGCCTCATCCCCATACCTCATCTGAACACGGAAGAATCAGAGCCTCCCAGTTGGGGCCGCCTTAGGGGGGATGAGTGAGTGGCTTTCCCAGGCTGTTCTGGATGGTGAGTGGCCCGTGTAGCCAGCTTGCCTCTTCTTAAGGAATATTTTTTTGTGTGTGTGTTTTGCTCCTTGAATGCCTTCAGGGCACTTTTGCATGGCTGGAGTGTTGTGGGGATCGAACTACAGCAAACTGAGGCTGCCAGCATTGTGGAAGCAGCCAAATGGAATAAGGGTTATAAGGAATTTTTTTTTTTTTTTTTTTTTTTGTTTTACTCCTTGAATGCCTTCAGGGCACTTTTGCATGGCTGGAGTGTTGTGGGGATCGAACTACAGCAAACTGAGGCTGCCAGCATTGTGGAAGCAGCTAGCTTGCCTCTTCTTGCTGGCCCATGTCCCAGATTCTTGGTGCTTCCTGTGGCTCAGGCACCAAGTGAGGTCCTATTCCTGAGCAGCCAGCCAGAGCCTTCCCAGCCTGGGGTCCCTGACATCCAGGGCTCTGTCCTGTGTGCGTGCCCTGGGCCATCTTGTATTTGCTCACAGGGCCCAGAGCACTCGTCAGCACGGCCTGAGCGGTTCCTGCAGATGAGCAATGATGACTCGGACGCCTACCCTGTGAGTGTGGCTGGCCAGGGCCCGAGGCAGTGGACGCTCCTCCCCTGGGCCGCAGGGCAGCCCACCCATGAATGGCAATGGCCGCTCCAGCTGCCCCACCCCGCAGGTCTTCACTGAGGACTTTGAGGTGAGCCAGCTCTATGACTGCAATTGGATCGTGGTGAACTGCTCCACGCCGGCCAGCTACTTCCATGTGTTGCGCCGGCAGATCCTACTGCCCTTCCGCAAGCCAGTGAGTGCCGGCCTCCCTACCTGTCCACCCACAGTACACTGCAGTGCAGTTAGAAGGTGGGGACCATGTGGGCAGGGGCTGCTGGCAGCCAGGCACGTGTTTCCTTTGCAGCTGATCATCTTCACGCCCAAGTCCCTGCTGAGGCACCCAGAAGCCAAGTCCAGCTTTGACCAGATGGTATCTGGTGCGTGCCTGCACTGGGGATGCAGCTCTTTGGGAACCCTGTGGCCTATGGTGCAGCTTCTGTGCCGGAGACTGTACATCTTCCCCTCTGTCTGATGCTCTGTGAACCCTAGGACAGCTCCCAGCCCAGTGCCCATGAGCCCTGTAGTGAGGAGGTGGGAATGATGGCCCCCTCAGGTCACTTGGGATAAGGAGTGTGCTGGACCCTCAGCCACGTTAGGGCTTCCTGGCTCTGCAGGTGTGCCCAAGGGAAAGAGCCGAGCAGCACTGCCAGTCACTAGGCCTGAGTGTCCTCTGTCTGCTCACCCATTCGTCCAGTTTCTTGACTTGTGAGCCAAGAAGACTTTGCTGGCTCTAGGGACTTGTCCCCTGTGGGAGCTCTTTACCTTGACCTGGGGTTGTGGGGGGAGTCAGATGAAGCCCCAGAGGACGCAGTGTTCAACTGGAGGTGTGGCTCAGAGAGAGTCTGAGGGGTAGGCATGGGGTCCCCAGGGTAACAGGAGGACAGAGAAGGTCATATGGGGAGGGCAGGGCCAGGAAGAAAAGGCCTCAGTTATGTAGACAGTCATTTGCTTTTCACCTGTGTATGTCTGTCCCCTCTTATGGGGGAACGTAGCTGAATCAGGTAGCTCAGAGTTCAGAGGTTGGGTTGACTGACTGGTACTGGCTCCTCTCCTGGGGCTGGCAGTTGGTGCCCTGTGCTGTGGGGTCCTCACTGGGTGCAGCAGTTCGGGACACTGCAGTAGCTTTCCCAGAGGTTTGGCAGCATGCTGGGCCTGGTACACAGTGCACCCTCAGGGAAGGAAAGTGGGCAGGCTGTGGGCTACAGTGAGGGGAAGGAGCTCAGTGCCTACCCAGGGATCTGCTCAGCTTCCTGCCTGCTGAACAGGGGCTGGGAGGTCCAGTGAGAGATCGTACAGCTGGAGGGAGCAGGTCTGTGCAGATGGTGCCATCATGGTGCATCATGTCACCACCTGCCCTTCAGGGGCTGTCCCCATCTCACTCCCAAAACCCTGCAGCCAAACAGTGCTACCAAAGTTCTGCCCTGGGACCCTTCTCCATCCATCTCTGTGACATCTCAGGGTGCTCTCGTGCTATCTTTTGGGACCCAAACCATGGAGAGTCTGCAGCCTTGGGGACACTCCAGGAGCCCATGCTCCATGCAGCTATCCCCATCCACTGTGCCCCTTTGGCCTTCCAGGGACCAGCTTCCAGCGGGTGATCCCAGAAGATGGGAAGGCAGCACAGGCTCCGGGGCAGGTGCGACGGCTCATCTTCTGCACAGGAAAGGTGTACTATGACCTGGTGAAGGAGCGAAGCAGCCAGGGCCTGGACGGGCAGGTGGCCCTCACACGCCTGGAGCAGGTGTGCCAGACCCTCTTGGGTTTGAAGCTGTGGGGGCAGGTGGAGCTGTAGGCAGTGTGCCAGCTGGGCCAAGCAGGCTATCAGTGCCTGTGTGCACCCCTTGACTCTATTGCACCCCTCTTCTCTCCTACCAGATCTCCCCATTCCCCTTCGACCTGATCAGGCAGGAGGCAGAGCGGTTCCCTGGTGCTGAGTTGGTGTGGTGTCAGGAAGAGCACAAGAACATGGGCTACTACGACTACATCAGCCCACGCTTCATGACCATCCTTGGCCGAACTCGGCCCATATGGTACAGATACAGGCCTTCATCTCCCTTAGCCTGCAGAGGGAAGGAGAGAGGAGGGAGGAGGAGGAAAGCTGGCCTTCGGTTTATGCCTCAACCAGAGCTGAACTGCAGAACCTCTTGCCTATCTCAAGCCTCCTCTGTATGTGGCCTCTGAGAGCCCTGGGCTCTCCTTGTGATGATAGGGTTAGGCTGGAGAGACCAGCCCACCCAAGCAAGTAGGGAGGGCAGTCGCTCAGTGCCCCTTGTTGCTCTGTTTGTCCTCGGGAAGACAGGTAGGAGATCGTGACCTCCTCTGTTGTCCTCATGGGTGAGTCTGGTGGCCATGGTGTGCATCTTGTAGCTGGTACCCAGGCAGGAAGGCAGGTATATGCGGAGTGCCCTTCCTGTGCTGCCCTCGCCCTTTTGTTCTCCTCAGGTATGTTGGCCGTGAGCCCGCCGCTGCACCAGCCACAGGAAACAGGAACACTCACCTGGTGTCTCTAAGGAAGTTTCTGGACACCGCCTTCGATCTTCGGGCCTTTGAGGGAAAGACATTCTAGAGTGGGCAATGCCGGCCTGGTTCTTGAGCTGGGGGCTTAGGATACTGGGAGAGTGGGCTGCTGGGCCCCAGGATGTGTCACACTCCTGGCCTCTATATCAGGCTGGCTTTGGCCTGTGTGTCTGTGTCACCATCAGGACGGAGGGGTCTGATGGGGAGGTGCATAACCTTTGTCCCCCAGCACCTGGCCTCTTCTAGACGTGGTGTGCAGCTTCTGCGTCTGTAATGTTCATGACCTGGAACTCTACTGTCGCCCATTCCTATGCTGTCCAGCTTGGCTGCTGCTCGCCCTATTCATGTTAATCTGTAGATCCCAGGGGAAGCTGTGATGTGAGCTCTTAGAAGTAGGGCAGCGACCCACAGTTCAGCCACTGTGCCCTTCGTGGGCATGTCCTATGGGATATGGCTCACAGGTACCAAAGTAGAAACCAAATATAGAGAAATAAAAAAGATGCTGCTAAAAAAGACTCGCTGTCCTCACATCATGTTGTGGAATTGTAGGACAGCTGTGTGGGAGGGTGGGCTGGTGGCAGGCGGGGCAGGCAGAGATCAGGCTGTCTTCCCCTGGGCTTGGACTTTGCTCCAGGAGGCTGCAGCACAGGGCAGAACTGGTCTGTCTGTCTGTATCCATCCCAGAGCACTTCCTCAGTGCTATGTGCCGGGGAGAGAGGGCTCCTCTAACTCAGAGTTTTGCTGGGCTGAGACAGTCAGGGATGGCTTCTTGGAGAGGGAGGTGACCCAAAAGGTCCACCCACAAGGCTGGCGTGAGAGCAGCCTAAAGAAGCAGCCAACCTGGATGGGGTGCTCGTGCCTCAGCCTCAGACAGAGCTCTTTGGGCACACTTTGAATTTGACTGAAGGGGTGCTCGAAGTGAAAACAAAGTAAAAATGTTAGGGCACAGTAGGTAGCATGCCTGCTGCACCCCCGGCCCTCTGTTGGATAACTGGTCCGTGTGACCAAAGGTTCTTTAGCCTTCACTGGGGTTTTAAGTAAGGAAACCAAGGCTCATACAATGTTACCTGCCCCAGTCACATGCCAGGAGAGTGCTGGGGACTTGACTTCTGCCCACCGAAGTGAGCTCTTGCAGGAGTGCGTGGTGGGCACTTACTGCAGCTGTGATGGCAGTGCCTGGCAGGATGCCACAGGCACCTGGGTCAGGACAGGGGCCCTCCGGCTGCGTGGTGATGGGCAGCTCCACAGCAGTGCATATGCTGTCTCCTCCTCACCAGAAGCCTGCAGATAGGCCATGGGGGCTCCTGTAGAAAGAGAGATGACACCATTCGATTACCCAGCCAGGGAAGACCAAGCACACAAGAAAGGGCTCCAAACTGCAAGGTGGCACCTACCCGGGACATACAGTGAGTTCGCGGGACAAGCAGATGCTATACATAAGCTCTAGCGACTTCCGAGGGCCAGGAGGGCATCACTACTATGACAAGCAGACTCCTTTAAAAATAGTTAAACTCAGATTTAGAAAATACCAAACACTGCCGAAATGTAAACCTTAGTACATTATCACAGAGCAGATACAGCTGAAATGAAAAAGAAGTTTGGAGCTAAGGCCAAGGGATTCTCCCAAGAGAGAAGAAGAACAAAGATTCTTTTTAACCTGTTCTTGAAAGACACGTGTGGAAGGCACAGCATGCACAGCTTGGCTGTGCACAGAGCAGGAGTCCCGGGAAAAAGGGGAGCTCCTGGGGCAGGCGTTCTGCCCACGACCGTGCCAGGTTCCCAGCTTTGCAAGCGTGGGGAAAATGGCAGACAGGCTGCCTGGGATGCTTTCTTAAAGCTGAATCTAAGTGGGCATGGTGGTACATGCCTCTTACCTCAGCATTGGGAGGCTGGGGCAGGAGGGTCGCTGGAGTTCAGGGCCAGCTTGCACCACAGTGAAGAACTACCTCAAAAAACTAAAAGACAAAGAACAAATGAATATAAATCTACAACTATATCAAAGAAGCACATAACCAATGAATTATTTGTTCCCTGTTATTTTCTAAATTGTAAGAGTTCCTCCTATAATCTGTATACAAGTCTTTATCAGACACTATATGTTTTGAAAAAATTATCAGTCCGTGGCTTTTTTAAAAAATATATTTGGTTGTTGTAGGGTCTCACTACGCAGCTCGGACTTGTGGTGATCTTCCTGTTTTCAGCCTCCACAACACTGAGATTACTGGCATGCACCACTACACTGGGACTCTGGCTAGTTTAGCCTGCCTTGGGGGTGGGGCTGGGCATGTGGTGCTGGGGATTAAACTGTCGTCCCTGTGTTTGCCTAAGCTTGCCTAAACAGGCACTTTAGTCCGCTGAGCTATCTTGCTGGCCCCCGGCTTTTTTTTTTTTTTTTTAAACAAGCTGTGGCAGGTTTTATTAATGAGAAATTCTTCTTGGCTTATTTTTCACCGGCCTGCTCTGGCAGGCTTCTAATGATAGCAGAATCACCTGGATCCATGATCGCCAATGTGCGTACTCTGTAGTATTTTCCACATGCTGTGCTCAGCTCGATATTATTGCCACTGTAGTGATGGACACCAGTTTTGGCCAACATGGCCTAGTACTCTATTTCAGGTTTCCTCAAGGCTGGGAAGTTGTTGGCAATCAACTTCGCTTTGACCTGTCTGATCATCTTCAGCATCTGCTTGTACCCCAGCATGTATTTTCTACTTTTCATAACAAGTTGGAGCCTAGAGTTGAGGGACTCCAGAGATTTTTTTCATCTTCTTTGTGGCCACCATCTTCCTGCATTAGGTGAAGATGGCTCTCAACCAGGAGCAGCTGCCAAGATGGCTCCGGAGTGAGAAAGGCCCAGCTTGCTTTTAATTTCTCTAAAACTGAAAGAATTTTTTTCTCAAAGATTATCATTTCTTAAAGGCTTGTACTTTTTGTGTCTGCTTGGCACTTATGGGCTGTTATAACAAAACACTGTAGGCAGCTTATAAATAACAAGTCTGCATCCCATAGTCGTGGAGGCCAGGAAGCCAAAGCCCTAGGTGTGGCACATGCGGCATCTGGACAGGGCCCCGTCCTGTGCTGGAAGTGGCACACAAGCCTCTGCAGCCTCTATAAGAGCAGTGACTGCCAGGCGTGGCAGCGCACACCTGTGACCTTAGCACCTGGGAAGCTGAGGCCGGAGGGTCACTATGAGTTCGAGGCCAGCCTGAACTGCATAGTGAGACCCTGTCTTAAGAAACCAAAAAAATAAGAGTATTGATTCTACTTGTGAGAGCCCATTATCATGAGGGAATCACCTCCCTCAGGCCACCAGTTCCTTCCTGTACTGCCCCGTGGGGGTTAGTATTTCTATGTATTAACTTGGGGGAATCCGAGCATTCAGGTCAGAGTAGCGTGCTAACTAAAAATTTCTAAAACTTGTGTCACCCTGTGACAGCACAGCCTGTATAATCCTAGCTATTTGGGAGCTGAGGCAAGTGGACTGCAAGTTCAAGGCCAGGGCAATCTAGCAAGAGACCTTGTTTCAAATTCAAAAAAGTAATAATAAAGGGCTGAGAGCATTGCTTAGTGGTGAAGCACTTGTGTAGCATGTGCAAGACTCTGGTTCAGGGGACCAGCGAGCTAGCTCAGCAGTCTAAGGCACCTGCTTAGGCAAGCTTAGGCAAGCACACAGGGACAGTGGTTCAATCCCCAGCACCACATGCCATGCCAGCCACACCCCCACTGTGGGCTGAGCCAGTAAATAAATAAATAAATAAATAAATAAATAGACTCTGATTCAATCCTTAATAACAAAAATATGTAAATAATTAAACTAATGCCACAAAATTTTCTCCTGTTTTCTAAATGGGTTAGAGTTATCAGCCTTAGTTTTAGTTTTATATACACACACTTGGTGTAATTTTATATATGGTATAAGGGTAGGGTCAAGATTTATTGTTTCCTGGCTGCTACTTGATTGAGCCTAACCAGTTGTTTAAAGTCTTTTATTTAATGAATTAACTTGGTGCTTTGTAGAGATAGTGCATTGCATAGCACACATTGGAATAGTTCGCTGAATTCACACACCTGCAATATTTAAATGACAACGGAATACCCTTCTCTGACAAAACTAAAAAAAAGGGGATAGAAATGAAGGGCCATTTTGTAGCTGTATAATCAAAAGTTAGGACAGATATACAGCTACTTTCCCTTAATTCAATGAATAGAAAGATTTGTACTAATAGTGCTTGTGGACAGGACATCATGTCTGCATCTTGCACTATAAATAACCACTAAGAAGACAATGATATGCAATGTATTAATTACTGAAACTGTCCTACTAGTTGGTTTTGAAACTGTCTCATTGCTGTTTGTTTCTCAATAAAATTATTTAAAAAAATAATGCTTTGGCCCCAATGCAAACTTAGCAAACTTGGACTCCAGCAATGGGGCCCACTGATGTTTCAACCAGACCTCTGGGTGATTGTGGCTTTTTAAACTAAATATAACAAATCCATCTCCAACTTTCACTGTCAAATTACAATGTACGTTATCACACACACACCTGAAGTCTTACTTATTAAAAACGCAATCCAAAAAAAAAAAAAAAGAGAAAAGAGATGCAAGATCACTGAAAATATAAAATATACTGAAATGATTAAAGAAAACCTAAACATATACTAACAAAAAAGAGAAAAAAGTTAAAAACTCAAGTATTATAGATTAGATGGTTAAATGTGAGAATTCTTCACAAATTGATTTGTAGATTCTACGCAATTCCAGTCTGAATGGCATCAAGCAATTGCTTGGGCTCTGACAAACTGACTGTAACTATACTGAGCTACAGCATCTCTGAAAAAGGGAGAACACAGAAGATGACTGTATCTGTTTTCAAGACTTATAAAACCACAACAAAAGTCTGCTAACACTGTGATTAGTGCTACCGTGGGTCTGTAGGTCCATCTGGAGAAATAGTGCCTTTTCAGTCCGCTAATATGTTCTCTCCACTTATTTTAACTAAATTTATCTGTACATATTTTAATGTGTAACCACCATAAACGATTTTTGAAAAAATTTCCATTTCTAATTGTTGGACTGTTCAAATGCAGCTGATCTGTATTCATTGGAAGTAGCTTACCATTTTTAATGACTTTAAAATTGGAGATTTTGGATTATCGCCCAAGACCATCCTAACATCCTCATATGAAGTTTAATGTCTTCCTTTGCAATCTTTGAGCATTTTAGTAGTTTTTCTTGCCTTACTGCCCTGGCTAGGGTTGCTAAAACATGTTGAGAAGTTGTCAGTTGACTGTTCTTAGGAGTAAAATACTTAGTTTTTCTTTGGGTTTCCATCTTAGTTTTCTTTTCTTTTTTCTTTCTTTCTTTTTTTTTTTTTTTGAGTGTGCTTTATCAGATTGAGCTAAATTTTTTTCTAAGTGATATATATATATATATATATATATATATATATATATATATATATATATCTGCCGAAATAATCATGTAGTTTTTTGCTTATTA